ATGCCAATGTGCATTGGCTCGTTTAGTTTACACTCGAAGTAGATTGGTCTCTCTAAGCGAGATCCCAATTCGTCGGTCATCCGACGTGACGTCTCCGTTCCCTCCTTCAGGGAACGAGGGTTACCATACGTAACCGAGACGTTTCAGACTTCTTTATTTATGTTAGTTTCCCTGACCCTAGACCAGGGTCGTAACAAAAGTAAATAAAAATATTCTAAAAAGAACCAACTTGAGTGAGGAGGCAGCAATGGAAACATCATTCAAAAAAAAAGAAAAAGAGCAAATTTATATGATGGTCACTTTAAGGAAGTGAAATTATTCATTTTGAAAGGTAACATTTAGTAACATGAAGTAAATAAATTTTACTTCAAAATACTGTTCAAAAGTCTTTTGTGCTTACCAAGCCTGCTTTTATTTGATCAAAAATACAGTAAAAACAGCAAACTTGTGAAAAAGTGTTACAATTTAAAATAAATTATATTTTATTATATATAAAAAAAATAATTTATACCTCTGACTGCAAAACTTAATTTTCATTTTCAAGCCATTACTCAAGTCTTCAGTGTTACGTGATCCTTCAGAAATCATTCTAATATGCTGATTTGCTGCTCAAGAAACATTTGTTTTATTATGATCAATGTTTAAAACAGTTGTGCTGCTTCATATATTTGTGAGAAAAAAAACACCACATTTTTTAAAGGATTCTTTGATTAACATAAAGAACAAAAGAACAGCTTTTATTTGAAACAGAAATCTTTAATAACATTATAAATGTCTTTGCTGTTGCTTTCAATAAATTTAATGCATTTTATTAAATGCTAAAATTATTAATTTCTTAAAAAATGCACTGACTCTAAACTATCAATATAAATAAAATCCATTCTGCAGTAGCTGAATGTTGATTAAAGATTTTTGTTTACTGAAATAGTGAAAAGTGTAAACAGGTCAAGCAGCACCTGACTCTGTGAGTCAGTGAAATGGGGCTGGTGCTCTGCATTGTGTAATTCTCTGCTCCACTGAAGACAGACTGGACATTGGATTTGAAGAATGAAAGCTCACTGCACTGAAACAATAATACAGATGGCTTTTCCTTTTTCCATCCTTCAGCTGTGGATATATGTCCACTCTTTGTTGGCTTCCCTGCTCAAATGATTATTCAGAATCAGAATCAGAATCAGAATGAGCTTTATTGCCAGGTATGTTTACACATACGAGGAATTTGTTTTCGTGACAGAAGCTTCCACAGTGTAACAGAATGACAGTGACAGAACAAAAAAAACAGATAAAAAAAAAAACATTGGAACAAGTAAATAAGGAATAAAAATATACAAATCGACAATTGCATGTACAGGTACAGTATATAACAATAGACAGTTGTATGTACAGGTATATTATGTGCAAATTGGAATGTAGACTGAGTATGTGTGTTAGATAAATAAGTGTATGTGAATAAATAGTGTGTTCCACAGCTATTGTCAAGTGTTCATGAGATGGATTGCCTGAGGGAAGAAACTGTTCCTGTGTCTGGCCGTTCTGGTGCTCAGTGCTCTGTAGCATCGACCAGATGGCAACAGTTCAAAGAGGGAGTGTGCTGGATGTGAGGGGTCCAGAGTGATTTTGCCAGCCCTTTTGCTCACTCTGGATGAGTACAGTTCTTGGAGAGAAGGGAGGGTTGTACCAATGATTCGCTCAGCAGTCCGGACTACCCTCTGTAGTTTTCTGAGGTCAGATTTGGTAGCTGAGCTGAACCAGACAGTGATGGAAGTGCAGAGGACAGATTCAATGATGGCGGAGTAGAACTGTTTCAGCAGCTGTTTCAGTAGCTTTATTGATAAAGCAATCGCTGTTAGAGGACTAACAATGGGAGTCAGAACCAATCTCTTTTATTCAACACTGTGATTGGATTTGTAGGGCCTACACGGCTGTTGAGGATTTATCGAGCAGAGCACATGGCAGATATAAGAGATTCAAGAACCCTAGATTGTAGCATCGTTCAAGTCTGTAAAGACTTACTATAAAGAATTGTAAAAAAAAAATAAAAATATGAAGGAAAGAGTTCACAGTACTGCATTTAAATGTAAAAGCGTTCAAATGGGCATTCAGCTTTTCAGGTCCAGTTGTCAGTCACAGGCTGAGTGAATGAGAGTTTAACATCTGGTATTCTCACAACATTAGCTTAGTCAATCCACAATGGTGAATCAATTATGGCTGTTTCAGATAGAGAAGAGAAAGCTTTTAAGAGCTTGATTAAATGTCAACTCTGATTACTTCGCTGCTGACATATCTATTCCTGTCAAGAGTGGACATCTGATGCTGATCTGGAGAACAATCGTCTGGTGCCTCACTTAGAAGTTTTGTGCTCTTTATTTTCAGCTGGAGTGACATTGTGTTTGGTTGGGTAACAACTGTTGCTCAAAGATTCTCCTCTCCTCTATGTTTAGCAATAGACTTTAGCCTTTAGATCATCTTGAAAATGGAAAAGGTGTATTTGAATTTGTTCTGCATTTGTGTGGTTGTAACGACAGTAACATTTTCTGGGGAGAATAATGACAGAATGTTCAATTTAATGGAATATTCTGGGCTCAATACAAGTTTAGCTCAATCAACAGCATTTGTTGCATATAATGTTGATAACCACATACAGTACATAGATAGATAGATACATACATACATACATACATAATACTTTTGATGTTATTTATAATAGAGGTTATGATGAGGCACGTACAATGGAAGTAAATAGGGCCACATGGTTTTAAAATAAATAAATGAATAAGCACATACATAAATGTGTTTTAGTATAAATGTATATTAAATACAATTAGTTGAACTTAAAGAGTTTTTTGACCACTTTAATTAGGACTTTAGTAACTCTTTATATGTAGTTTCATAATTAATTCCTTCTTTGAAATATGGTTAAAGTGCACTGCTGGGTGTACTGACAATTATTAATGGTAAACTAAAATATACATGTATATGATTTCATTGGTTGATTTCATAATACATTTTTATTATGAAAAAAAAAAACTGTATTACCAAGAAAAAAAAAACTTTTCTTTTAAAGCATTTCAAAACATTTTTTTCTGTGCAACTTGACCACTAAACATGCATTTTCCCCCTGAAGCATTCAAAAATTACTTGGCACAAAATCTGAGGGGGCTTGATACTTTTGACATAAGAGGCCAAAATATATGTTTAATTATAATAAACATCAGCATCACCATAACTGTAATTTTTCATCAAACACATTAAAGTGTAACTGAATGCTTAAAATGAATCTCATGTTGCAATGCAGTGCACAAGCCACACACACAAACAAAATTGCACCGGTTGAACGTGCATCATTTTGATCAAGGTTACATTTCATTCCTCCCTCTCTGAGCTGCTCATCTGAAGTGTTTGTGGGAGATGAAAAGAGGCTGAGCTCTTTGAAGCTGATTTTCTACTCCTGCAGCTCCCGTTATCTCTGCAGCTCAGCATTCTCTGGAGTTAAGAAAAAGAAGGAGACAGAGAGAGACAGGGAGAAAGAGAGAGAAAATCTGATCTGTAATTGTAACCTATTCCTTGAACGTTTCCCCTCACTTACTTGAACCGTCATCTGACCAATAACGTTGTGATCTTAAATGAATAGTTCACCTAAAATTTAGCAATTATTAAACACATATCCTGTCATTATTTACTCAACCTCATGCTTTTACAAACCCACATGCTCTAATTGTTTCCGTGGAAGAGAAAAGGGGAATTTTTGATGTATCTTGACAGTTCTTTTCTATACAACATCAGTGATATCAGTCCTTTAAAAGAAGAAGTACACTTTTGCACACTTTAAAAAAAAAATGCATATAACGGAAATAATATACTTAATATACTAAAGTGTGGAATTCATGTAATGTTTTCAGACACTTCATTGCATTTTAGTTGCAATTAATTGAAAAAGAATAATAAATAAATAAATAAATAAATAAGTACATACATACATAAATGTTTTATAGTATAAATGTATATTAAATACAATTAGTTGAACAATTAGCTGGATGTTTTTTTATTCATTTAAGTAGCACGTAAGTCTTACATTTGAGATATTTCTATGTAATTCATATTTAGTTCTGTTGTCTTTGAAATATGGTTAAAGTATTCTGCCACATGTACTGGCAAGCATTAATTGTAAAACAAATATACTTTAATGTAATTAACATTAAAACTTTGATGTTATGTATTGAAATTGATCTGTAATTACATAACTGTAATGCAGCACTTTTTTTGCACATTTAATATGTTAACTTAAATAACACTACAGTTAAATTGTCATCAAATACTTTACATGTGGTTTAGTATGCTTGTCAACCCATCAAAATAAGTGTACTCCTTTAAAGCATGAAACATGATTATTAAACAATGTTTTAAAATGTACTTTTAAAGTAAAACTTTTCATTTGACTATTAAAAAGTGTACTCTCTACACTTAAGTGTAGAAATGGCCCTGTTAACATCAAATCTAATGCAATACATCTAGAGGCACCATATTTAATTCAAGGATTACAGCAGAGGGCAAGATTACTCAATTTCAATTTTTTTATTTTTATTTTTATTTTTTTTCCCACAAAACTATTCCATTGCTACAGAAGACTTGGAATATAGCACAAAAGTTTTATGGATGACTTTTATAACACTTTTTTTTTTTGACAGACTGTTATTGTATGGAAAATGTCTGTGTGAAGATAAAACAATTCTGCAGTAAAAATGTAAACGTTAATACACTTTAGGAAAGGAGATGTTGTTAACTCTACTGTACAGTAACATAGCAGCTTGGTTGTTTGTTTCCCTTTAATCTGTCTGTTTTAATTCTGCGGTAATGCTCTGATATCTCTGCAGGATGGATGGATTGATAGATGAATGAGAGCACTGGGATATACAGTATTGATTGCACAGTTTGTCCAAGGTTAAAATGTTTTGAAGTATGCATCTACTTCCTTTGTGGAAAGGTCTCATGTTTCATGAGCTATTCTTCATTAGGACCCCATTAGGTGGGTAGGTGATGTCCATACTGTAACTGACCTTTATGCATGATTGATTCCAGCACTGAGTATTTGTGTGTCTGTTGAGGAATGAGAAACTGAGTGATGAGCTTATGTGGAGATGTGTCATGTAGCCTTGGATGCATTTTAAGGAGTTGGCAACTTCTGAATGACTCTTAAAGGGCTCTTATAGTTCACCCAGTCAATGGGCTTCAAAACGTCCATTTCATTTTTTCATTTCTAGGTGAACTATCCCTTTCAAAATTGTCCTCTGAAACACTGCCCACCACGATTAAAACTCTCAGTTGGTTACAATGAAACACATTTCACCCAAGAAAGCACTAAATGTTGGATTCGAGGACGTCACACAGCTGTCTAAGAAAACTGATCTCAATTCATAATGGTATCAGCTTCTCACACACATTTCTCTTGTGAGTGTGAAGGTTCAAATTGAAGAGCAGCTATATAAAGACATTCATTCACCTTCAATCTGAGTCCTTCATGAAGTCAGCTCTCCGCTTTCCACCGCTGGTATCCATCACCTCTGACAGACTCAAACTGGCTTTTTCCTTTGAAAGACACCCCATGCTCTGCTATCCAGCAAACCTGGATCAAAAAAGGTCACTGCAAGGTCAAGTACACTATGAGGGTTTTGAATACACATACTGTAAAATAACATATTTTCTTGTTGTAAACATAGGAATATTCATTAAAAGTAGACAATGCTTTAATGTTACAGTAAAATGTTGTTATACTTTGCTGCACACTGTATAGCAGTTCTTGATTATTAATCTCAACCTCATAAATCAGCTATGTAGTTGGTAAACAATGTCTTCTGTTGAACATTTAAGATTCTTACATATCAGTTGAAGTTTTAGTTAAAATTTGTATTATAAATTCAGGGTCGCATAATGCCATCCAGTGTTTGTGGACCGGTAGCAATGGCCTAGTTTACCCATCATTAGCCTTAATTCACTTGACCTCAAACTGTTTGTGCACACAGTGTTAGACACTTTAAAACATTGCGGTACATTTTGCTCATTATACACAAAGTGTTCTTCTGAGAGCAAAATGCAACAAAAAACCAAGCAAACTACATTACTGTTCAAAGGTTTGAGGTCAGTATTAAACAGCACACTGTTTTCAATGCTGATAATAAGAAATGTTTCTCGAGCAGCAAATCATATTAAAATGATTTCTGAAGGATCATGGGACACTGAAGACTGGAGTAATGTCTGCTGAAAATTCAACTTTGCCAACACAGGAGTAAATTTCATTTTAAAATAGGCTATATTAAAATAGAAAACAGTTATTTTAAATTGTAATAACATTTCACAATATAACCATTTTACTGCATTTTTGATCAAATAAATGCAGCAGTGGTGGACATAACAGACAAAACACTGAAAATCTTACTGACCCTGAACTTTTGAACGATAGTGTACCTTACCGACATGTGCAGAAATGGCATTGTGAATAATGTGAATAGTTCAGGTGTAATGTTTGGTTTCCCATCCAGCTCATAAGTAAATAAAACCAGCTTTGTGACCATGAGAAACAATAGTTTGGCATGCAGATGGAAGGGACTTTGGCATTTCTAAAACAAACAACTAACTAACTTAAATACTAATCTCTCTCATTCTTATCTCACAAATGCAAATGGTCTCGGTGATCCCCTGATCGACACGATTACTGTGGAAATAAAATAGTGCAGCTTGGAGAGGACTCCAAACTGATCAGTTCTTAAAGGCCCAGAAAGCTGTCATATGTCTTGAGTCAACTGTAAGGAACTCTTGATATGATAGATTCGTTCATATTGTTAAGCACATCTTGTGTTTTTCCAGTAAAAAATCCATGCAAAAATGCATATGACATTAAAGATAGTTTAAATTTGAAAAAATAAAAAAATGAAAATAACCCCATGAATTAGCCATCCTAGGAGTATATGACTTTCTTCTTTCAGACAAATACAATCAGAGTTATTTAAAAAAATGTCCTGGCTCTTCCAAGCTTTATAATGTCAGTGAATGGGGGTAGAAATTTTGAAGCCCAAAAAAGTGCATCCATCCATCATAAAAAGTACCCCACACTGCTCTGGGGGGTTAATATAGGACTTCTGAAGCGAAGCGATGCAATTGTGTAAGAAAAATATTCAAATTTAAAACTTTGCTAACATCGTACGCGCGTTCATGAGAGAGTGGCGTTCCAGCGGAGCTTACGATACGCCTACATCATCCACTGGATGAACTATATCCATTTAATGCTTGTTTTTAGAGAATATACCATGTAGGGCTGTGCAATTAATCGCATGCGATTAATTGCACAGCCCTAATACCATGTATTCATTTTGTATTTATTTTTAAAAGGATAGTCAACCCAAAAATGAAAATTGTCATCATTTACTCACCCCCCATATGGCTCCAAATCTTTATGACTTACTTCCTTTTGTGGAACATAAACAACATAAGCAAAATGTTGGTAACTAAAGAGAATCTTTATGGTTAAAAAGATGATAAACCTCTGGTCATGGCTTGCATCCACAATATTAAATAGTGGGCATAACATTATTTAACATAGCTGATGTATGCCAAATGAATGTGGAGAAAGTTGCATAAAGTTGCGCTTTTAAAGGGAACCTGTACACACACACCTCATTACACTCTAAAAAATGCTGGGTTAAAAAGGGACAAACCCAGCCAGCTATTGGTTTAAACCCAATAGCTGGGTTTGTCCCTTTTTAACCCAGCGCTGGGTTATATTTAACCCAGCGTTTTTTAGAGTGTACTAGTGCTGTAGATGTGTTTGGTTAATGCAATGACGCAACTTCATGACACCTGCTGTGTGAAGAAGATAAAGCTGTTGACTTAATCCAGGAGAGCACATTTGATCAGAGAATACCGAGCCCACAGAATACTAATGCCCTGACATATTGTGATATTTTTGGCTTATCATCGCACCTTGCCAAACCTATAGTGTACGTCTCTTAAGGCACATGGTTGAAGTCATAAAGAAACAATAAAATAAATTGCAAAATATTTTCCAGTAAAATATCTCAGCATCCATATAACTAACCCTAATATCTAATATTTAGTTTTTGTTCTTTTTTTAGGCATAAATCTAACAATCTGTAGGGAGATTTATAGAAAAAATTCTCTGAAAACAAGTTTTATAATCACACAAGCACAGTTTTATAAATGTATCTTGTTTTAGGAATACATACTGTAGATATTTTAGATATCAAGACTATTAAAAAAAAAAAAAAACTTGTATTCTGTATTCGCATTGCATATTTATTTTTTTTCA